GTTTATAATTCAGAATGTTCTATGGAGGCACAAGGGGAAGGGCCACTGCTTGTCTGTACACAGTAACTGAGGGATTTAAGTCACACCTAAAGGTTTCTCCTAATGCAAAAGTATGATAATGCCCTGTTATCTGAAATTCCATCCATTTGGGATGCTTTGGGGTGAATGGATTTATTTTTTTAATGCAAATGCCAAGAATAAAACTGATATACTGAAGGACTGGACAGATGTTTTGGGGTTGGGAATTTCTTAAGAGGCAGGAGAAGCTACTCTTTTTCTAAGCCCAAGTGCCTTCCTCCTGTTTATCATTGCTTTTTCCATCCAGGCTTAGCAGCTGTTCTCTGCTGTGGAGATCATAAAATTTGAGGCTCGTGTCACACAGGAATACCACAGGCCACCCCACTTGTTACTCTTGCTTCAATCCCTTTCCCACTGTCAGAGAAGACTGAGCTATGCCACCCAGTCTGCATTCCCATCCCCATGTCTGACCGTATCCGGAGGATGCCAGGGTTCCTCTCCTCCTCTTAGCATCCACCCACTGTTGTCATAGGAAGATAGAGCAGCCTGTGGTTAAAAATACAACCTTTGGAGTCAAACAGACCTGGCATTGGATCTCTACTACACATCAAGTTTCTCTCTCTGAGCCTCAGTGGTGTCATCTGTAAATGGATGAATCGCTGTCACTTGCAGAGTTGCTTCACTGCATATAAAGTGCTTGGTATGGGTTAATCCTTCAATAAATGGTCATTGTTAATAGAGCTGTAACTATCGCTCCACTCGCGTTTTAAATTCAAATGTCTCTCTTTTGTTCCCCTGCTTGCGACATCTGTTCTGCAACCTCACTGAATACCGCAGTCCAGGAAACTCTCCATGTGAAAAGCAGCCATCCGCTGCCCTGGGGTCACCTGCTTCCATGCTCATAACTGTAGAGTTTGTATTTCCTCCAGATTTCTCAGGAAGATCCCAAGGACTAGTCCATCCCTGGGTCAAGCAGTGTGGAGTCTGTAACAGCAGGGGAGGTGGGCTAAGACCAATGTGTATAGAAAAGATGGGTGAAAAAAAGAAAGGATGGGTAGAGGCAGGCTGGAGGTTGAGCTCTATCCTCTCTCTGAATATGCTGTTTATGCATCTGTTAATTAATGCAAACTTAGAGCAGATATTCTGTGAAATGGGCTTTTTTTAAGGTCCAGAGTAACTACTGGTTTGATTGACTTTTTTAAAAAATTTTTTTATGGAGAGGGAGGGAGAGGGATAGAAACATTGACCAGCTGCCTCCTGCACACTCCCTACTGGGGATGTGCCTGAAACCAAAGTACATGCCCTTAACCAGAATCGAACCTGGGACCCTTCGTCTACAGACTGATGCTCTATCCACTGAGCCATACCGGTTGGGACTTGATTGGCTTTCAATGAATTGCTTACAACACAAATATTGATAGATCCTCCCTTTCCCCAACTGATGGATGAGTATGACGTAAACTGTATCTGCAGCCTGGACATTCCTGAGCACCTAACCAGGCACCTTATATGGACTGTACTTTGAACCACCATTCAGCACCTGCCAAATACCCTAAGCCCCCGATTCCTAAGTACCTAAGTGCCTAATCATGTGCCTTATATGAAACCACCAGTCATCGTGTACCGAGTACCCTAAGCCCCATCCCTTCCCATTTCTCCCCTCAAAAGGCATCTGCACCTTTGCACGTGTGCTCTCTTCCTTTGGGAGGCAGCCCTGCAGGGTCCTTCTCTAATAAAGCCTGTGTCCTGGTCTCCGGCCCTCTGTCTCATCTTTCAAATATTTTGTCACAAACATATTTACATTGTCATTCCATGCATCATGTGTAGGAGGAGGGAGGGGCTTAGTTCTTGTTCTCATCCGTTCTTATTGGGGGGAAATTTAGACTAATTCATCCAAGGTCAGATATGTAGTAGGTTAATGGAGACAAAATACCAACTGTGCAGCATCTCTCCCCACACTTATTCCTCCCGCAGCACCTTCCTCCTTTCATCTTTCTTTCACTCAACAGTGAGAGGATGCTCCCGTCTTGCCATCGACCAGCACTGTCAGAAAATGCCCTATTCTGCACCCTGCATCAAGGCCCTTTTCCTGAGTTGTCCCTTTTAGAAGAGGATGTGGTAACTCGCTCTGTTCCTTTGGTCCTCTCTTCCTTCCCACCTCACCCTTTAGCATTTCTCCTCCAGTAGCCCTGGCTTTGCATATCTACTTATTAATTTGTTCCCCACCGTTAGAAGACAACTCTCGTGAGGACAGGGATTTGCTTATTGCTTTCTGGTAGTATCTTCAGGCCTTTTCTGTGCTTGTATACATCAGGCATTCACATACAACATATTGTTGGAAAAATGAATGATTTGGTTGTATTGGTCTAAAGCTGTACGAGTGTGACCCCAGAGCACAAGGTGCATGCCATCTCTACTTCCCTTCCTCCCTTTGTCGTAGCCTGCCAAGAAACTGAGGAAGGAGGAGGAAGAGTTTGTATACCTGAGAACCCAGCTCTCCTCCTCCTGTGTTTGTACTGTGTGGAGCTTCGGGACACCCTCATTCTGGTGCATGCCAGTTAAGGTCGAGTTTCTGTCATGTCCCTGGTCTCAGTGCATCCAGCCCACAGCTGTAGCCAGTTGTTTAGAGCCTGTTGAAGGCAGTGGGACACACTGGCTAAGCGCATAGACATCTGAGTCTTGTGACCACTCTGCCACATCCAGTTTGTGTTCCCTTGACAAAGTTTAAACCTTTCTGTGTCTTAGCCTTATTGTCTGTAAAATGGGAATGACCTTATGCAGTTGTTGCCAGGATTAAATGAAATGATCCATGTGATATCTTTAACATAGGAGAAATGCAGACTGAGTGTTCCATTAAAGCTGGCTGTTAAGTATGGTACAAATTAAATGCCATTTACTTCATTCATGCCTCGTCTGTAGGCTGCTAAATCTACTTCCTTTGTGTCCCTCATCCTGCCCCATCTGACACAGATCATTGATGGGGTATAGCTTTGAGGAGGTTTGTGAATAGAAACCCGTACCTATAGTTTAGCTTGTAGTTCTGATTGTTTAGAGGGTGGCTATTTTGGTGTAAGATTTCTATTTGTTTGTTTTAGTTTGGTCCTAGAGATTTCCACCAGGAAAAATAATTCAGAGGGATTGTCACCACTAGGAACTTCCCGGAGTCTCTTTCTCCAGGAAGCAGAACTCTTTGACTAGTGGGACAGGAGCTCACAGACAGGCATCTGAAATGTGCAGTAGGAAGAGAGCAGTCCAAGTTTAAGTCTTATTTTTGGCTGCTCCAAGGGACAGGACTGGACCACAGGCTCGGCATTGGGGTCTTATGATACTAAGCTAACAGACCAGTCTTCCAGGAGCCAACAAAACTTACTGGACAATTCCATTGTTTCATAAGATTTTAGTTCCTTACAAAAGGCAATGGAAACTGTTTTCCAACATTCATCACCTTCCCAAAGCAGTTCACTGAGTGCATCTGTGCCCCTGCCAGTTGGATAAATTGCAAACTCAATAAAGTAAATTTTTTAAGTAACCTCCTATGTAAGCCAGTAAAATTTGAAATACATTCCATGAAAAAAAAAATGTGATTGTTATGGTACATGATAAAAGTGGCAAAAGTTTTTATGGTCCAATTTGGTATGGACAATACAAATGTAAAAGATTAGGCCGAGACCAGTTTGGCTCAATGGATAGAGCGTCGGCTTGGGGACTGAAGGGACCCGGGTTCGATTCCGGTCAAGGGCATGTACCTTGGTTGTGGGCATATCCCCAGTAGGGGGTGTGCAAGAGGCAGCTGATCGATGACTCTCATCGATGTTTCTAGCGCTCTATCTCTCTCCCTTCCTCTCTGTACAAAATCAATAAAATATATTTAAAACAAACAAAAAAAAAATGTAAAAGATTAGGGGAGCTGAAACTGGTTTGGCTCAGTGGATAGTGTCAGCCTGCGGACTGAGGGGTCCCGGGTTCTATTCCAGTCAAGGACATGTGCCTTGGTTGCGGGCACATCCCCATTGGGGGTGTGTGCAGGAGGCAGCTAATCGATGTTTCTAACTCCCTATCCCTCTCTCTTCCTCTCTGTAAAAAATCAATAAAATACACTTTTTTAAAAAAGATTAGGGGAAATATTAGTAACCTGGAGGGTCTCTGCTCAAGTTGCCTTTTAAGTGGCAAGTTCTTACTCTCCTTTAAAGAAAAAGAAATAGTTAATCTTAGAGAACACCTTATAGCCTGTGTTAACACCAGCAAGGAAACGGCGACTCGAGTGTGAACCCAGAGGAAGGGGCCTTGACCGGAATCAAACCTGGGACCTTTCAGTCCGCAGGCCGATGCTCTACCACTGAGCCAAACCAGTTTCCGCTAAAATTAGTTTCTTACTTTAATGGACTACTTCATCAACCAACCAATTACTAACATGGATCCGGTGAGGGTTTCCCAGTAAGTTTTGTTGACTCCTAGGAGGCTGGTCTGTCAGCTTTGTTTCATAAGAGTAGAGGTATGACATAAAGCTATGTTAATAACTATGTTAATAACACTGTTACCAAAGTAACCTTTATCTTTGGATTCCATTTCCAATGGAATGCCTTCTCAGAGAAAAACTGACTTTTTAGATTTTTAATCACATGGCTTTTACTCTGAATGCTGTGTAGATATAATTGGAATTGTGGGTTGCTCTGCTTTAGCCGGAGCTCACAGACAGGCAGGTTACTGTGAGGGGAGTGGAGAACAGGAATGGAAGAGTGAGAAGTTGGAAGGAGCCTATGAACCTTGGGGCTTGCTATTCGGTTGACTTGTAGGCATCAGGCATCCAGGTCTAAAGATGAGAACAAAGGCAGATCCTTCTAAAGCATGGTGACTTTTAAACTTCATATAATTTCAGGTTTCCAGTTTATTGTTACCTTCTACTCAGATTGATGGCTGAGAATTTATTGCATTAATGTAGTAGCAACCCATAATCTAAAAATGCCTGGCTCTTGTTTTCACAGGTGTTGGGGCGATGTTTCCTGACCGTGGTGCAGGTCCATTTCCAGTTTCTGACCCAGGCGTTACAGAAGGTCCAGCCAGTGGCTCACTCTTGTTTTGCTGAGGTGGTTGTGCCTGAAAAGAAGAGCAGCAGCAGCTTATCTAGCATGAGCCACACACCTGAACTGGAGGAAGCTGTGCGATCCTGGAGAGGGGCTGCTGAGGTAACCCTGACTTTGGGGAGATTGCTGCCCTGTTCAAACAGGCGAGGCCTTTGCCTGTGGGTTCTTCAAAGAGCCTTCTTATTTAGAATTTTAAACTGTACCCAATAACTTGTTCATTCATTTATCAGAGATTGTCTCTGTAAATGCCCACTTTGTGTCAGACATGCACCAGGCACGGGGTGACAGCCTCTACTCATCCTTGTTGGAGAAAGGGCTTACAAACCCGGGTAAGGGACTGTGATGGAGGTGCATGGGAACCCGGAGGAAGGGACCTGCCTGCAACTGGGATCAGTGCAGCAGAGCTTCTAGAGGGACCAGGGAGAAAAGGCAGGTGCCTCCATCTGTAAGACAGACTGGAGCTGGCTGCAGAGGGTGAGCAGTCAGCCAAGCAGCTGGGTGGGTATATAGTTGGTGAGAACACATTTCTTGTCAGCAATTTAATATTCCTTTGTTTCCAAGGCAGGGGGGAAAGAAGCCTTTTCAAATTGGGACTTTAACTAGCACTTAGTTTTGAATTACAGAGTAAAAGATAATTTATGGAGTAGTATAAGGAGTAGTATATTGGTTATATAATATTTATTATATAAATATTATTATAGAACATTTAGTTTGAATCATTCCATAATTAAATTGGGGAAATTTTCATTTTATGTTTTAGAGGTCTTCTTTAATCAGTTTCTTTTAAAGAACAGTTGTTTTGTTTGTTAAATATGTTTTTATAAATTTCAGAGAGAGAGATAGAAACATTATTGATGAGGGAGAATCATGGGTCAGCTGCCTCCTGCAAACCCCCTACCTGGGATCAGGCCCATAATCCAGGCATGTGCCCTGACCAGGAATCAAACTGGTGATCTCTTAGTTCAGGGTCAACACTCAACCACTGAGCCATATCGGCCGAGCTTAATCAAATTTTTAAATGTGATTTTTTACACCTTGATATCTTATATTCTGTAATTTTCTTAATTCAGTTTTATACTGTTCTGCTGCATTGTTGTAATTTCTTTTGAATTTCCTTTCAGTTTTTTTCCTGTTTGTTTTGGTCTCACTTTCCTATTAAGGGCTTTTCTTAGCTTTCTTTTATCTATCTATCTATATATATATATATTTTTTTTTTCTTTATTGATTAAGGTATTACATATGTGTCCTTATCATCCCATTGCCCCCCCCCCCCCTTATGCCCCTCACCCCCCTGGTGTCTGTGTCTATTCATTAGGCTTATATGCATGCATACAAGTTCTTTGGTTGATCTCTACCCCTTACCCCCACCCTCCCCTACCTTCCCTCTGAGGTTTGACAGTCTGATCGATGCTTTTCTGTTTTTGGATTCGTTTTTATTCACCAGTTTATGTTGTTCATACTATCTTCTTAGCTTACTTGCTGTTTATCAGAGCAGCCTTTAAAGTGCTAATTGGGGGTCAAATGTGAGAGTAGGACCTGTTGACTTGATTGCAGGTGGCTGAGCAGTGGGATCCAGACCTTTGTCTTGCCATCTTACAATCCTGTGTGTCCTGCAGCTGCTGACTTCAACCTCCTGATCACATTTATGTCCTTAGTACCTGGCTCACGGTGCTCTCCTCTCCACCTATTGGCATCATTCATGCTGGTAATCCAGCCCACGTGAGGCCTCCTGGGGTTCCCTTGACCTGCTCGCCTTGACCTTGTCCTTCACTCACTCCAGTCTGCCCATAGGTTTCTGCCTTTCCTTACTTTGCTTCCAGCCAGTGACAGTACCCCACACTGGTGAGAAAATAGAATCTGCTCGGCAGCAGCCCCTCTTCTTCACATCACCAAGTGACATCCCTCCCTCAATGCAGACCCTCTTCTCTTCCCTTCATTATCGTGGAGGAGGTGCCCTCTGCTCCTGTCCAAGGCCTACTCTCCTCGCCTTCAAGGCTTCTGTGTGGGACCCTGTGTTTTCTCCCCTTCAGCGTGCTCCCACCAGGGCACAGATATGCTTATTAACCCAAAAGTCCACCCTGCCCTACCCTGTTTCCCTACTCTTTCCCTAGCCAATTTCTTAGAACTGTTCAACTCACCATTGATTCAGTCTTTTTTTTTTTTTTTAATACTTTTATTGATTTTTTACAGAGAGGAAGGGAGAGAGATAGAGAGTTAGAAACATCAATGAGAGGGAAACACCAGTCAGCTGCCTCTTGCACACCCCCTACTGGGGATGTGCCCGCAACTAAGGTACATGCCCTTGACCCGAATCGAATCTTCAGGACCTTTCAGTCCGCAAGCTGACACTCTATCCACTGAGCCAAACCAGTTTCGGCTGATTCAGTCTTAAAAATGTTATTATGACACATTTCAAGCACATAGGAAATGTCACACAAACTCATCTATCTTCCTTTTAGCTTTGTAAAATGAATGCTACATTTGCTCTATATCTTTTATTTTTCATAGAAAAATATTATTGCAAAGTCAAATGAATCCCCTTTATACCTCTCCACTATCTTAAGATAACCTCTTGAGTGTGGAATCTGTGACTCCTGTGTATATTTTCATATTTTTGCTCTATATGCATATATTCATAAATAGTATAAGGTTTTATTTTATATTATACAATGTGAAACTGTATGAATAGCATCATTCAGCTCACTGAAATCTGGCCTCCACTCCTACACAAGAACATGACTTCTCTTGTCAAGTCACTGCTGTCTCTGTGTTGCCAAGTCCAGGAAACCCTTTGCCTCCATTCAGCAGCTCACAGCAACATGAGCTCGGGAATCCTTTCTTCTTGTGGCATTTTTGGAACCAGGCGTTCTTAGTCATCCTTTAACATCTCAGGCCATCCTCTCCATCTACTTTGCTAGCTTCTTCTCTTCAACAAAACCTATGAATATGAGTTTCTTAAGGCTCAATTCTAGGGAATCTCCATCTTATCTTGGGTCTTTAAAAACTGTGTTCTCGGGCCCCTCAAATGTGTGTCACCAGTCCACTTCTCTTGTGGGCTCCAGGCCCCCGTGTTCAGCTTCTGCTTACCTCAGGTATCTAGGAGTCTCAGGCTTAATTTATCCCCACAAACCTATTGCCCCCCCAAAAAAATATCTTTCCCAAGCTAGCAAGTGGTGCCATTCCACTCAGGGCCATTCATGCAATAAGCCTAAGATTTATCCTCCAGTTTTTCTATCATGTTTACATCTATCCATAAGAAAGGCTTATAGGTCGCACCTGCAAAATATCCCAGATATGTCCCTTTCTTTCCATGTGCACTGTCACTCTCCTAGTCCAAATTCTCTTTTGACACTTTTAGTAGCTAGACTCCTTTCTCCCTTTCCTGTCTGGCCATTCTTCATCTCTTTCCATTTAAAATTGGGTGACGTTGCATCCCATTTCCTTAGGGTAAAGTGTGGGCCCTTCACTATGACCTGCCTAGTTCTGCATAGTCTGGCCTTGCTCATCAATCTGTCAGGGCCACTGTCCCCTTCGTGCACTTGGTTCTCGTTTTTTGCTGCTATGGCAGCCTGTTCTACATCCATCCCACACTTCCATTGACTACCTCCTTCTCCTTCTTAAACTTTCAGCCTAAATGTCAGTGTCTAGAGTGTTCCTATTATTACAGTCTTTGTTTCCATCCCTGTGCTTTTATCCACTTTTAATTATTTTAGATAAATTTTTTTTATTATTTATTTATTGGGGTTTTTTTTTAGAGAGAGAGAAACAGTCTGTTGTTCCCCCTATTTATGCATTGATTGATTCTTATGTAGTTCAGACTTGGGCTCAAACCCGCAACCTTCACGTATCAGGACGATGCTCTAAACAAATGAGCTACCCGGCCGAGGCCTCCGTTTTTAATTTTTAAATGTTTTATATGTTTATTTATTTAAAATGTTTTTACTGATTTTTAGAGAGGAAGAATGAGGAAGAGAGAGAAAGAAACATTGATGTGAGAATGAATCATTTATTGGCTGCCTCCTGCATACACCTGACTGGGAATTGAACCAGCAATCCTTCAGTGCCCAGAACAATGCCCACCCAACTGAGCTACACCAGCCAGGGATAAATATTTTATTTGTGTTCCTTGTTGGCCCATGAGGCTATCAGCTCCAAGATAATAGGGAACAAGTTTTGTATTTCACTGTCTATCCAGTGACATCTAACAAGACCTTGTGTGTGAAATATTTTATTGAAAGATTCTTTTAAAAAGTCAAATTGTGTTACTGTGAGACTCTTCAGGGAATGGTTGGAGTGGTATACCTGAATACTCTGTTCTGCTTTGGAACGTTATAGCATTAGTAGATGCCCATTGCATGAGTTTGTGTACCGGTGGGGTCCCTCAACCTGGCCTGTGTCCTCTTGCAATCCGGGACCCCCTATTGGAGAGCTGGTTTCAGCCCGATCCCAGCTGGACAGTGCTCCAGCAGAAACTAACAGCAGATTTCACAAGGAATCGAGCGCCCTCCTCCCTCCTCTCTGGGTCCAGGATGCAGGTAAAGCAGTTTTGGGTCCTACAGTGCCCCAGCAGCAACCTAACCCACAGTTGATTCTGCCAGAAATCGGGCTCCCTCCTCTACTGGTTGGAGCATCTGTCCCCTGGTGGTCATTGTGGTTCATAGCTAACAGGTGGACAGTCGATAGCTGTTTAGGCTTTTATATCCTACTAGAGGCCTGGTGTACAAAATTTGTGCACGGGAGGGGTGTGTCCCTCAGCCCAGCCTGCACCCTCTCCAATCTGGGACCCACTGGGATCGGGCCTAAACGGGCAGTCGGACATCCCTCTCACAATCCAGGACTGCTGGCTCCCAACTGCTCGCCTGCCTGCCTTCCTGATTGTCCCTAACTGCTTCTGCCTGCCAACATGATCACCCCCTAACCACTCCCATGCCAGCCGATTGATGTCTAACTGCTCCCCTGCCAGCCTGTTTGTCCCCAACTTCCCTCTTCTGCCAGCCTGGTTACCCCTAACTTCCCTTCCCTGCAGGGTTGATTGCCCTCAACTGCCCTCCCTTGCAGGCCAGATCCCTCTCGACTGCTCTCCCTACTGCCTTCCCTTGCTGGCCATCTTGTGGTGGCCATCTGTGTCTACATGGGACCAGGAACAGGATCTTTGACCACATGGGGGCAGCCATTTTGTGTGTTGGAGTGATGGTCAATCTGCATATTACTCTTTTATTAGATAGGATAAAGGCCTGGTGCATGGATGGAGGCCAGCTGATTTTCCCTGTAGGGTGTCCCGGATCAGGGTGGGGTTCCCTTGGAGTGTGTGGCGGCCTGAGCGAGAGGCCTGTGGTGGTTTGCAGGCCGGCCACACCCCCCAGCAACCCAAGCAGAGGCCCTGGTATCTGGAATTTATTTATCTTCTACAATTGAAACTTTGTAGCCTGGATCAGAACCAAGCCCCCTGCTTGCTCCGTGGTGTCAGCCATTTCTGTGGGAATTTATGTATCTTCTATAACTGAAACTTTGTAGCCTGAAGTGAAGGCCAACCAAGGCTGCAGAAGCTTGGCTTCCTCCATTGCTGGGGGCAACTCAAGCCTCCTGTTCTCTCCAGCTCCAAGACTGTCGCCATTTTTGTTGGGATTTATTTATTTCCTATAATTGAAACTTTGCAGCCTTAAGCAGAGGCCTGGGCTGGCCAGGGTGTGCGGAAAGCTTGGGTTTCTTTATTGCCAGGGAAACCCAAGCCTCTTGCTTGCTCCATGGCCACAGACATCTTGGTCAGGTTAATTTGCATACTCACTCCTGATTGGCTTGTTGGTATAGCGGAGTGGTGGTTAATTTGCATATCGTTCTTTTATTAGTTAGGATAATAAAAGCCTAACATGCAAATTGTTCCACTGGGATTTGACCACTTGCTATGGTATGTGTTAAACACCAGGGGGCAGCATGAAATATGGCAGGTGCTGGCCCCGATGGACCCCAATGAGAGCAGCACCACAGTGGGAAGTTGGAGCAGGTGAGCGGGCAGTGCCAGGCCAAGACATACAGGTCTTGTTAGGTGTACGAAATTTGTTCATGGGTGTGCTCCCTAGGCCTGGCCAAGGCAGGTGCAAGTGGGGGCCCGATCACCCCAAAGATCGCCTCACAGATGGCAACCAGTGGCCAGCAGGCCCCGGGCTGGTACTTGGAACTGGGGGTGGGTTGCAGCGACCAACCTCCCGCCGTGCCCTAGCAGGGGGCTATGACCTCTGGCCAGCTGCCTGGGGGCAGGGGTGACGGGATGAAGGTGCTGTTAGAATGCAGGTTGTCCACCAAGCTCATTCTCATTCCCCCTGCTCCCCCTAACCCCCCCACCAGGATACCAGAGCTCATGCACTCAGGTGCCAGGCACCTGCAAGGAGCCCACCCCCTACCCACACAGCCTCTTCTGGGTGAGCAAGGCCACAGCCACTGGTACTGCAGGGGCCGGTCTGACTCCCCGTGGGTTTGCACAGGAGCCTGTCTGTGAGGCTGGCCGGGAAAGACCACACTGCCTGCCTGGCTTCTGTGCAGTGCTGCTGGGTGGCCCAGAGGCCCACGCTGCGCCGCGGCCATAGCATCCAGCTGCACTCACCACGTCTCCATGTGGGGACTCAGGCACTGTGGCTCAGGCGGAGGGAGGTGTGCCCAGGGCCCAGAGGTCAGCTGGGATCTGCCCTTCCATTTCAGATGCTCGCACTTCGATTGCCGGCCAGGCCTAGGGACCAAATTTTGTGCACTGGGCCTCTAGTATATAGAGAGTTGCTCACTACATTTCCTTAGTCCTACAACTTTGGTAAACATTACAACTCTTACACTAGCCTAGAGAACAAAACTGTTTAAAAATGTTATTTGTTGCACTAATATTATTATTTTTTTTAATTTTTTAAAGTATATTTTATTGATATTTTACGGAGAGGAGGAAGGAAGAGAGGGAGCTAGAAACGTCGATGAGAGAAACATCGACCAGTTGCTTCTTGCACACCCCCACCAGGGATGTGCCCGCAACCAACGTACATGCCCTTGACCAGAAACGAACCTGTGACCTTTCAGTTCGCAGACCGACGCTCTACCACTGAGCCAAACCGGTTTTGGCAATTTGTTGCACTAATATTATTGCAACAAAAATAGACATTGGAGAACTGACAGAGTTCATCCTGAAGCTCTCCTCCCACCTAACAAATCAGATACTTATTTTTCTTATTCTGTAGTCATGAACCATAACTTACATTTTATCACAAGGAAGATTAGCTTTTTCTTATTTTTTTTCTTGCTTATGTATGCTTCATAAACATGTTTGATGCCTGAATAATTAGTATTTAATATTTCAAAAGCTCTGTTTTTCCTTTAATGTTCTGATATTTTTTTTATTGTTCTGTATTGGTATAGTTTTGATATATAGGAACACCCAACTATATACATTGTTTTGTTTTGTTTTTATTCTGGAAACACCAGATGCCAATATTCTAGGTTACTTGTTTTTCTAGAGCAGAAAATTTTTATTTATTTATTTATTTATTTAATTTATTTATTTTTATATTTTATTGATTTTTAACAGAGAGAAAGGAAGAGAGCTAGAAATGTCGATGAGAGAGAAACATCGACCAGCTGCCTCTTGCTCACCCCCTACTGGGGATGTGCCCGCAACCAATGTACATGCCCTTGACCGGGATAGAACCTGGGACCTTTCAGTCCACAGATCAACGCTCTACCACTGAGCCAAACCGGGTTCAGCTAGAGCAGAAAAATTTTAAATGCAAATATTTTTATATATAAAAAATAACAGGTCAGGAAGTTTTTTCCCCCAGGATTTCTTTTCTTTTTTAAAATATATTTTTATTGATTTCAGGAGAGAGAGAAACATAATGATGAGAATCATTGATCGACTGCCTCCTGCATGCCCCCTTTTGGGGATCGAGCTCATAACCCAAGCATATGCCCTGACCAGTAATCGAACCTTGGGACCCTTCAGTCCACAGGCCGATGCTCTATCCACTGAGCCAAACTCACCCAGCTTGCCAGGGTTTCTTAAAGATGGTGTGGTGTCAGGCTTATGTTTTCTTCAGGATGCTTGCTGGAATCTTCCAAAATTTCTGGCTGCCCTCTTCTTAATACAACCAATCCAGAATGTCTGGCTTATATCTTAATGCTTAGATGATTTCTCGCTTTATCTCCTTTGTTTTTGTATTTTATCTTTTTAATTTTGCCAGTGTCTGCAGCATCCTCTTTTACTTACTAGTAATTATTCATGTTGCAGGCAACAGCTAGACTCAGAGAAAGAGGCTGTGATGGCCGCCTGGCAGGAATTGAAGTTCAACAGCTCTTCTGTTCTCAAAGTGCAGCGATTCCTGAGCACCAGCTAAAAGAACTGAACATAAAAATTGACAGTGCTTTGCAAGTAAGTTTTTCAGAGCTGGCACAGTGATACCTTAGGGATAGGGACAAGGGAGGGAGTTTCAGTTGTGAAATTGAACCAATTAGAAAGAGTAATATGATAGTAGCTGGCCTTATGTGTTTTAAAAACTATAGAAATTTTAAATTTCTATTTTCATTGGACTTTGTTATTTTATAATCTGTGTAATCTTGATTTTTTTAAAAATAATTTTTTTGCAGGCATATAAAATAGCTCTGGAACGCTTAGGCCACTGTGAATATGCAATGAAAGCTGGTTTCCACTTGAATCCAAAAGCAATTGAAGCCAGTTTGCAGGTATATTTTTCTTTCTGGTAGTTCTTGGAAACTGTGGCATGGCAGTCTCGCCATAGCAAGTATCTTGATAGATGAGCTGTGGGTCACCCTTTCTCTCCCACCCAAACCTCTTCCAGGGCTGCTGCAGCGAGGCAGAAGCACAGCAAACAGGGCGGAGGCAGACGCCCCCACAGCCCATGCAGTGTGAGCTTCCTACTGTCCCTGTGCAGATTGGATCACACTTCCTGAAGGGAGTCTCCTTCAACGAGTCAGCCGCTGACAATCTGAAACTTAAGACGGTAGCTTTCCATGGGGTTCCAACAACACGGGTGTGAACTTGAAAATAGAGTTGTTAAGGAAACTTAAAGGCTTGTAAAGAATATAGATTAAAAAACAAAACTGAAGTTGGGTCAGGAGGCATTAACCTTTATAAAGTGGTATCTAAAAATGAACTATGGTGAATTTATTTTTAATCCTCCCCCAAGGGAGGATTTTTAGAGGGGCAGGGAGAGAAAAAGAGAAACATCAAAGTGAGAGACAAACAGCAATCGAAAACATCAATTGCTTGCCTCCCATATGTGCTGAATCAGGGTCTGGGATCAAACCTGCAACCTAGGTATGTGCCCTGACCAGGAATCTAACCTTTTGGTGTATGGGACAGTGCTCCAACCAACTGAGCCACACTGGTCAGGGCTATGGTGACTTTTAAAAAAAAATTTTTTTAATATATATGTTTTTATTGATTTTAGAGAGAGAAGATGAGAGAGGAATAGAGAGTTATAAACATCAATGAGAGAGAAACATCAATCTGCTGCCTCCTGCACACCCCCTACTGGGGATGTGCCCATAACCAAGATACATGCCCTTGACCGGAATCGAACCTGGGACTCTTCAGTCCAAAGGCCGAGGTTCTATCCACTGAGCTAAACCGGTTAGGGCTATGGTAACTTTTTTAATGAGATGTTTGTCAAGTTAGTTTTATTTGTAATTTTGTTCAAATGTCTAACATAAAGGTTTTTTGTGTGTGTGTTTTTTTTAAATATATTTTATTAACTTTTTATAGAGAGGAAGGGAGAGTGATAGAGAGCTAGAAACATCGATGAAAGAGAATCACTGATCAGCTGCCTCCTGCACACCCCCCACTGGGGATGTGCCTGCAACCAAGGTACATGCCCTTGACCGGAATCGAACCTGGGACCCCTCAGTCCGCAAGCCGATACTCTATCCACTGAGCCAAACTGATTTTGGCTAACATAAAGGTTTTTGAAAGCACATTATAAAATACTCTTTATGGTTAATGTTCCAGTGGACTTTCATGAAAAATAAGAGGAGAAATCTTGTCATAATATGGCCACAATTATTTCCATTTGTGGAGTAACATAAGTCAAGCATTATTATGCCAACCATTTCACTTGTGTCGTCTTTTTTAATGATCACTCATGAGCATACCCTTCACCCCACTGGAGAAAGAGGAACTAAGGCCCAAGGTCACATAGCTGGAAAGTAGTGGATTGGAATTTGAACTTACGCAATCTGTTTCCAGAGCCTGCATACCTGACCACTTGGTAATCCAAAGCAAAGTTGAGGTTTTCATTGGTATTTACTTCTACCAGATGATTTTGTCTCCTTATTTAGAGGAATTCAGAATTCAAAATTCCTCAACCAGATTGCTAGATAATGCTGCATTTTGTGCTAGTATAGAAATACCAACATGTTATCAATGAATGTAATGTATATAATCATTTGCTCTATAGGATTGAGAAAATATCTGAGAGTGTCTGATGATAATTACTTAACAAATTAAATTCCATTATTTGGGGTACTTTTCTTTTGAGGACTATTGTGTACCTGTAAATGCATTTCAGTCTACAAATTTTATCTTAAGATATGAACACGCCGAAGCCGGTTTGGCTCACTGGAAGAGTGTCGGCCTGGGGACTGAAGGGTCCCGGGTTCAATTCCGGTCAAGAGCATGTACATTGGTTGCGGGCACATCCCCAGTGGGGGGTGTGCAGGAGGCAGCTGGTCAATGTTTCTCTCCCATCGACATTTCTAACTCTCTATCCCTCTCAATTCCTCTCTGTGTAAAATCAATAAAATATATTTTTAAAAAAAATATATGAACACTCTTGTGTAGTTTTATCTTAAGATATGACCACTCTTGTTATATATTTATAGCATACAATGTTACAGCTGATCAAGGAGGCAGGCTGCTATAATGGAATCACATCAAGGGATGATTTTCCTGTAACTGAAGTACTAAACCAGGTGTGCCCATCCACATGGCGGAGCGCCTGCAAGACTGCTGTACAGCTGCTGTTTGGCCAAGCTGGACTGGTGAGTGAATATGTGTGATGGATGGGGGAGAGAGAGAAAAGAGACAGACAATGTTTTAAGCATGTGAGGATGGGGTGCGGGCATGTGTGAAAATACTGAGTAACTTGAACAGTTCTTGGGTGCTACAGAGTTTAGACCAGATAGAAAGGTAAGGAAAGAGTAGCATTAAAAAGTCTTTTTTTTTTTTTTTTTTTTTTTTGTAGATTTTTAATATGTATTGGTAGGGAACCTAGTTATAAAATGATGTTGCAGGCTTTCCTCATTTTAAGGAAACCATTTCACTGGAAATGATTTGATAAGGTCCTTTGACTTGACCTGACTACTCTGGAGTTTCAATGGATGTCTTTCTGTGGCTCAAACAGGCCAAGCTTCTACCTGTCTGAGGCCTTTGCATTTGATGCTCCTCTTACCTGAGAGAATACTCCTCTCTGATTATCATGTGACTCACTTCTTCTCAGTCTTCCTAATGTCAGCTCAGATATCACCTCTCAGAGACCTCAGTGGTATAAGTAATTCTCCATACAGTTACTTTGTATCCCTGCTCTCTCCTCCTTAGCAATTGAGTAAGTGTCAACTCAGAAATAAGCTTAGTCTTTATCACCATTGGAGAGAATAACTTTTGCTAAAGTTGGATGGGATCAATATCTGAAGTCACCATTTAGCTTTTTTTTTTTTTTTTTTTTTTAAATATATTTTATTGATTTTATACAGAGAGGAAGGGAGAGAGATAGAGAGTCAGAAACATCGATGAGAGAGAGTCATCGATCAGCTGCCTCTTGCACACCCCCTACTGGGGATATGCCCGCAACCAGGGTACATGCCCTTGACCGGAATCGAACCCGGGACCTTTCAGTCCCCAAGCCGACGCTCTATCCATTGAGCCAAACCGATCCCGGCTCCATTTAGCTTTTTATTTGACACTGCTGACCCACATAACCTTGTGTGTTTGTACTTTCTTGAATTAAATAACTACTTTTTGAAAATATATAACATTTCAGTTGGGCTAAAAGAAGCTAATTAGAACTAAGAAAATGAAAGAACTGTCTTTTAGTCTAATCCCTACTTTATGAAAGTAGCTGCTGGGCAGGTGCTGTCCCATTATTTCATGTGGGCGAAGGCTCCGGTGGCTGAGCTCAGGATGGTGCTGCCTTGTAGAGGCCAGATGAAGGCCAGTCCACATTGGGGAGGTATACATGCTCCTCAGAATAGGAACCCTATAAGAAGCATAGACTGGAGACCCCCTGCTGAAGTATAGAATAGCCCACTCTCTTTGGGAGATTGAGCTGAAGCTAGGAGAACCATGGCAATCAGTTTTCCATAAAGGAATGTGTAGAAAAAGACAAGAATGTTGGAGGCTAAAAAAAAAGCTCCATTATTATTCAAAGATCAGAAACTTAGTCCTAGATCCATACCCCTTGATCTCAGGGCACCTTTGTACGGGCTGACAAAGAACCTTTAGATTATGATTCTGGGGCTGGGAGGAAAGAGGAAACACCTGCCTGGCCCAACAATGGGTATTACTTGGACAGGAAGTCTTTTCCACAGGACATGAGACCAGCTGTGGGAACTGTTTACAGCACTGGAAATGAGCTCCATCACAGGCTGTGTTTGGAATCAAGATAAACAGCTCTGCATGGCTTTACCCTTCTGATATGTCACAGACTTGGGTTTCAAGTGGTTTATGATTCTCTTCTTAAAGTTATTTTAGTTATTTGAAAATAAATTCATCACTTTATTGAACTCTAAATTATGTAGGATACTATATCATTCTGTAATATTAAAGACTGTCCTCCAAATAAGAGGAAACCATTGAAGGAAGGGCTGGTTCTTTATCTTTCCTGAAGTAGTTGTGTTTTTATTGATGGTTGAGACTAAAATGATCTTTAAGAAAAGCTTCATCCACTCTGGCTTGTTTTCGGTCATTATAGATGGGCTTTTCTGAAGCATTGATTTGATTTTTTGTGGCATTTTTACTCCTTTCAAGTGCATAAATTTTTTAAATACTGAGATAAAGGAAACAAAGCAGTTCCTAACTAACATTTATAGTTTGGAAGAAGTGCCACAAGTGCTTGCAAAATTCAGCACATCCTACACCTAGAAATTGGTTTCTATTTATTGAAATACTAGAGGCCTGATGCACGACATTGATGCACTTAGGGGGTCCTTCAGCTCGGCCTGTGCCCTCTTGCAGTCTGGAAGCCTTCTGGAGATGTCCCACTGCCTGCTTAGCACTGCAGTGGAGAGGCTCCAGGCACCGCCACTGCACTCACCAGCCCTGAGCCTGGCTTCTGGCTGAGAGGTGCTCCCACTGTGGATCATCTGCCCTCTGGTGGTCAGTGTGCATCATAGCAACCAGTCTGACTGACATCCCGGAGGAGTCATGGAGTGCAAGCCAGGCTGAGGGGACCTCATTAGTGTATGATTAGGGCTGGGGAGGGACATGGGAGGTAGGGAGGTTGGCCAGCAGGGGAGGAGCTGTGGGAGGGCTCCAGGGGGTGTCCAGCCTGTTCCACTCAGTCTTGATTGGCCAGACTCCAGCAGCAAGCTAACCTACCGATAGGAGCATCTGCCTCCCGGTGGTCAGTGTACATCATAGTGAGCAGTTGAGTGGCCTTAGCATATTATTAGCATAGCACACTTTGATTGGTTGAACAGCTGCCTGGATGACTGGACACTTAGCATTTTAGGCTTTTATTATATAGGATTACTGTATCCAGTCATCTTTATTACCTACCTGACTGGCCTCTGCATACCTGCTTTGCTAGGGGAATAGTTCTTGCCAGAGTCACTTAGCATTGTTAGGTTCATGTATGGGATTTGTTTGTGAACATTTTTCTCTCTGAATGCTGATCATTATATTTATTTCTCTCTTAGGTGGTAGTTGACACAGCACAGATAGAAAATAAGGAAGCCTATGCCCCCCAAATCAGTTTAGAAGGCTCAAGAATCGTGGTTCAAGTCCCATCCACATGGTAATGTTATATTAACATAAGCCTAAGCTGTGATAGAAGTTTTCACTTATTTGACAATATTGCGGTCATGGACAAATTCTCTGCTAGCTGATAGGACACATCTTCTGCTTATGCAGGTTTATGGCAGTGGTGCTGTATTACTGCCATGTCATGATTATCAGTCCAAGATGAGGAAGCCAAGGTGCCTGAAGCCAAGTCTCATTGACCAAAAATATAACTAAAAGGTTATATACTCATGAAACATAATGAGCAATATTATTTTCTTTGTCCACTGCTTTTAGACAGAATATATCATTTTCTCCAAGTCACCAGTGTTTCTCTAAAGCTGAGTCCAGAACATAGAATTCCTCCTCCACCTTTGTCTATTCCAGCAACTCTGATGATCTCAAGTTCATGTCTTTACATACCCAGTGTCATTGCCTATCTGGGGACAAACTGAACAATTTTTATTTTGACTACTCCTACAAATCAGTAAGAAAATGGGCAAGATAAAGGAACAGGTAAATCAGAAGACATATAGTTAAATACATGGAAAAACTGTGTAACCTCTCCTAATAAAGGCAAAGTAAAGAAACACTAAGTGCTATTTTGCCTACCATGCTCGATTTGTTTTAGAATTTGGGCCAGACTATACAAAAACAGACACAGAAGTTAGTTATTGAATAAATGACAGCCTTCCTAGAGAGTAGTTTCGTATATCAGAGACCTAAAATAAGAGATACAACCTCAGCAATTCCACAGTTCCACCTGTAGGGGTTTTTCCCAGTGATGTCTGTACAAATTCAACTATAAGGACCAGAGTCATAGTTTTATCAGTAAACAGCAAAAATTAAACATATAGTGGGAGACTTTTGCTATTAAAGTTAAAATCTGAATTAATATTTAACTATATAGAAAATATTTAAAGCATGTAGATAGGAATAGATATAGTAAGGAGCAGTGGCAATGTTGGTGCTTGTATGGACTAAAGTGAGAGATGAGAAATGAAATTATATTTAAACCATTTTTCCTTGAAATGTGAGGGTCCTGCAATAGATTCTTCCCAAAGTTTTAGAACTGGTTGATATATCAAGTAGGGGTTGACAGTACACTTCATGTCCCCAAATCTCCCATCTATGAGTTCTCCTCCCCAACCAAAATTTATAATTTGATTATTCAGATAGTATACTGTTTTCTGAAATGAATGGTAATTTATATGCATATTTTTATTCCCATCATACAATACATTTAAAGCTTATTTTTCTGTAAGATTTTTGTGTTCCCAATTTCTTAATTTGTTTTCCAGTGCAAGTTCTTCTTGAAATACTCAGTTTAACCTGGGTAAATTGGTTCGAGTATCGTCCCATACACTGAGGTTGCAGGCTCTATCTCCAGTTCAGGGCACATACAAGAATCAACCAATGAATGCATAAATAAGTGAAACAACTGATTGATATCTCCCTCTCCCTCGCTCTTCCTCTCTTTCTAAAATAAATCAATTGATAATTTTAATTCTCTTAAAAAAAGAAAAAAAAAGAAAGAAACAGTCTGTTTAACTTGGATTCCCATTTTGAAAAAAAAGTTTGAATTTTTAAATAACTTGGCTATTATAAACAGCTAGTACTGAAATGGGTAGCACTCCAGTTTACTTTCAAAACTGTATGATTGATTTCCTTTGTAATCATTGAACTTCCATGGGTTATGTGGCCTTGGAGCGGTTCCCTCTGCTGGTTGCTTTTGGTAAAAATACAAAGTTTCTTTCTTGTTTCTTTCAAGTTATAAAATTATGTGCTTGTTGAGACAGACGGACTCAAATAAAAATGATGACTGCACCTTCGAGAAAATGAAATTGTTAGCAAAGCCAGTCAAAAATTTATTATATTCCTTGCTGCCAGATTTTTTCCCCAAAGTAATACTTTACTTAAATTTTTAAACTATCATACTTGAGCTATACATTTTTCTTTAAACAAATACTAAATACCTAATGTGTGACAGATACTGCCTGGGCCTTGGAAATTTAATCATGAGTAAGAAAGATAGGGTCCCTGCCCCTAACTGAGCTGACTTTGTCATGGGGACAAAGAAGGAAGAACTAATAAGCGTAAGAGTTAAGTTCAGACTGGGAGTGTATGAAGGGAATAAGAGCAGAATGATGTCATATGACAGAGAATAACTAGGGTAGAGATGGGTAAGGGAGGCTATTTTGGATGAGGTCAGTTATGAAGGGCCTCTTTGAGGATGTGACATTTAAGAGGAGCCGGCCATGTGGAGAATAGATGAGGAAAACATTCCAAGCAGAAGGAACACAAAGACCTGGGAGTCACCCAGCATGGCTGGGAGATATGGTAGGTGATGATTAAGGAGTGGGAGGAGAAGAAGGGTTTATAGACGCCAGGACTTGCAGGTCCTTAAGAGACTTGGATATTTAAGAATGAGTAAAGGGTCTTAAGCAAGTCTGAGTGATGTGTGAAAAGAATAGCTTTAGTCTCTTAAAGGGGACTGTTCTCAAGACGGATAAGTAAAATAAAAATGCCAATTTGTTGATTTTCAGAAATAGAAATTATTTCTAGGAACTGTAGTGCTCCTTTCTGCATGACCAGCGTATATGACCAGCCAGATGACAGGCAGCAGGTGGCTTGGGAGCAGAGAGCACGTGTGTCCTAACAATGAGCAACTCCAGGCTGAGGGGATTCAGTGCACAAACCTGGGCCGGGTCCACTGGCTGAGATTCTCCAGGAGTCGAGAGGCTGGTGGGACACTGTCAGCGCTTGCCTTGTTGCCTTTCCATTGTTCCTGAAACTGGCCAGCTCACACATTTCTTCTCATGCAGTCATTTGAAGAGTTAGCTGCTGCCTCTCAGGGTGGCTGTGCCATGTTTCTCTCCCCATTTAACTCCTGAGTGCCCAGGAGCCGACAGACAACCTCTTTCTGGTTCTCCCTCTCAGAAAGGCCTCTTGGTGGAGATGCTCTGCATGGGCAGTGGGGGCTTGCATGGTGGAAAGTAGCTCTCACAGGAAAGCAGTTGGGAGAAGGCAGCAGCAAGAGCAAAGGTCCGGAGATGTGGGCAATCCCACCATATTCAGGGAGTGACAGAAGGCCTTGTAATTAGGACAGGGTGAGCGGAGGTGATGGTGGAGAGGTGTGAGCAGAGAGCTTGGAGGGCTAGGTTGAGGAGTTTAGAATACACTTCAGTATGACAGGCTGCCAGTCAAGGGCTTCAAATGGAAGGGATGTGTTCTGCTTTGTGGTGTTGGAGGCTCACTCCATCTGCGTGTGGAGGGTGGGCCCTGGAGGGCCCAGAGAGGAGAAAAGGAGACCAGTTGACAGTGTGTTCCTGACACACAGATGGTGGTGGTTTCTTGGAGTAGAACAGTAGTAAGGGAGGGGTGAGAAGTGTTGGGTGCAGACTGTATTTTGGAAGAAGAACTGTCAGGATTTGCTAATAGATTGATGTAAGATATGAGGGAGCTAGAGGTGGCTTATAGGTCAGTAGACAGCTGTGTTGTTTAGTCATTGAGGAAATCTGTAGGAATCAGAATGGTTGTGGGTAAGAGAGGAATCAAAAGTAGTACTAACCAGGCTACTTTTTTTCTCTCTCATTGTTAACCCTCACCCGAGGATATTTTTCCCGTTGATTTTTTAAAGAAAATGAAAGGGAGGGAAGACACAAAGAAAGAAGCATCGATGGAGAGAGAGAGACACATCAACTGGCTGCTTCCCACATGCACCCCGACTGAGGCCGAGGATCAAGTCTGCTACCAACGTATATACCCTTGACTGGAATAGTACCCAAGACCCTTCAGTCCACAGGCTAACGCTCTACCCACTGAGCAATACCAGATCCGGTTGACCAGAGGCTTCCTTTGAGCTACCTATTAGGTGTGAAGGAAATATGAAAATCTTCAGTGTAGCATGGTCTGTGAAGCCTCAGGACCAGATGCAGTCTAGGGAAGAGGACAAAGCCTATATCATGCCACGATACAGAGGCAGGGATAAGAGGAGCAGGGGTCCACAGAGGAGACCAAGAAGGAGCTGCCAGTCAGGTAGAAGGAAACGAGCAAGTTTGGGTTCACCAAAGCTGCAGAGACAGTGATCCAGGAGGAAAGAAACCTGTACAATGTTCAGAGGTTGAGTGGGGTTGAGGTAGAGACAGGTAACTGGCCCTTTGTTGAGATCTAAGCTGGTTGATAAATGTTATTTTAGCCCTAGCCAGTTTGGCTCAGTGGATAGAGCATCAGCCTATAGACTGTAGGGTCCCAGGTGCGATTCTGATCAAGGACAAATGCACAGGTTGTGGGCTCGATCTCTGGTGGGGGGCATGCAGGAGGCAGCCAATCAAAGATTCACTCTCTCGCCTAAGCCAGTTTGGCTCAATGGATAGAGCATCGGCTTGGGGACTGAAAGGTCCCGGGTTCGATTCCGGGCAAGAGCATGTACCTTGGTTGCGGGCACATCCCCAGTAGGGGGTGTGCAAGAGGCAGCTGGTCGATGACTCTCTCATCGATGTTTCTAACTCTCTATCTCTCTCCCTTCCTCTCTGTACAAAATCAATAAAATATATTAAAAAAAAAAAAAAAAGATTCTCTCTCATCACTGATGTTTCTATATCTCTCTTCCTCTCCCTTCCTCTCCGAAATAATTTTTTTAAAATATATTTTATTGATTTTTTTACAGAGAGGAAGAGAGAGGAATAGAGTTAGAAACATCGATGAGAGAGAATCATCGATCAGCTGCCTCTTGCACACCCCTTACTGGGGATGTGCCCACAACCAAGGTACATGCCCTTTACCAGAATCGAACCTGGGACCTTTCAGTCCGCAGGCCAACGCTCTATCCACTGAGCCAAACCAGTTTCGGCCGAAATAAATTTTTAAAAATTTTAAGAAGTTATTTTAATGGGACCCTGACCGATACTCTCAGTGGTTAGACTATCAGCCCATGCACCAAAAGGTCTTGGGTTCGATTCCCAGTCAGGGGCACATATATGGGTTGTAGGTTCAATCCCCAGCCCATGTGTGGGAGGCAAGCAATCAATAATGTATGGCTCTCACATCAATGTTTCTCGCTCTCCCTTACTCTCTCTTCCCTCTCTCCCTTTTTCCTTCTGTCACCCCTTCTTCCCTTCCTTCTATTCTCTGGAAATCAATGGAAGGAATATCCTCAGGTGCAGATTAATAGCAATAACAAAAAAGTTATTATATGCCAAAACCGGTTTGGCTCAGTGGATAGAGCGTTGGTCTGCAGACTGAAAGGTCCCAGGTTCGATTCTGGTCATGGGCATGTACCTTGGTTGTGGGCACATCCCCGGCAGGGGTTGTGCAGGAGGCAACTGGTCAATGTTTCTCTCTCATCAATGTTTCTAGCTCTCTATCCTTCTTCCTTCCTCTGTGTGGAAAATCAATAAAATATATATATTTTTTTAAAGATTTTTTTTTTTTTCAGAGAGGAAGGGAGAGGGAAAGAGCAATAGAAACATCAATAATGAGCGGAAACCGGTTTGGCTCAGTGGTAGAGCATCGGTCTGTGGACTGAAGGGTCCCAGGTTCGATTCCGGTCAAGGGCATGTACCTTGGTTGCGGGCACATCCCCGGTAGGGGGTGTGCAAGAGGCAGCTGGTCGATGTTACTCTCTCATTGACGTTTCTAGCTCTCTATGTCTCTCCCTTCCTCTCTGTAAAAAATCAATAAAATATACTTTAAAAAAAAAAGTTTCTTGGAATTTAGAAAAATTGTTATGCAAGAGAAGCAATCAATGAAGACAAATCATTCATTTACCAATACATCTGAGATTTAAATGGTATTAAATTAAGTTTATAAAAAGAAAAAAAAAGAAACATCAATAATGAGAGAGAATCATTGATTGGCTGCCTCCTGCACATCCCCTACTGGGTGGCGATCAAGCCTGAAACCAGGACATGTGTCCTGACCAGGAATTGAACCGTGACCTCCTGAATCATAGGTTGATACTCAACCACTGAACCACACTGACCCAGAAAAAAAGTTATTTTAGTGAAGTTATGGTGATAAAAGCTCGGTCAGAGTGGAATGAGAGGAGAATAGGGAACAGAGAATTGGGACAATATTTAAAGGGGAATGCGAGGCTAAGAGAAGGTAGGTAGAGAGACTGTATGTTTGCCAAAGGGGATGTCCAGGGATGCATAAGAGGAGTCCTTGGGCAAGCAAGAGGATGGCACACAGCACTCGGATGTCAGCCTGCAGTAAGAGCGGGGACTGTGCTTCACTGTGACGGGGGAAAGGCAGGGAGGTGGGCAGGGACACGGTGAGGTGGTGGACTTAGTGATAAGGGAGATGGAGTAGATCTCATCTGTTTATGTGGTTTCTCAGTTGAAATAGGAAGAAATGGGCGACATGGTGGGGATGGCAGTGCTTTAGGAGAGGCAAGGAGGGGTGAAACCGTCATCTTGGAAAAGGAAAACGTTAACTTATGGGAAGGTCATATTTATTGCTTACTCAAATTTGCAGTGAGTCTGGGGCATACTGTGTGGATTTCCCCCTCTGTTGACCATGTTTCTTGGGTATAGGTGTGAAGAGCTGTAGAGGAAGGGAGGGGCAGAGGATTTATAGAAAGAGTTTGCAAAGTGCTAGATATGGTGCCAGACCACAGAACCTCACAGGGTAGGGAAGAAAGTCAGGGTCGGATCCAGTGTTGGAAAGAGAGAAGGCATTAGGCATTCTAGATAGTTAGAAATCTGTGGACAGACTAGGTCCTGTTGCTTCTTCCTTTTGCAGAGCAACAAGTTTAACGTTAGCCCTGTCATTCTCTAAATGTTCTTATGATTACTAAATTTTTAATCAGTGCAAAAGTGTAAAAATTGTAGTGGCTGGCCGGTGTGGCTCAGTGATTGTGCATCAGCCTATGAACCAGGAGGTTAACAGTTCGATTCCCAGTCAGGACACATGCCTGGTCACCAGAGGGGGAATGTGCAGAAGACAGTTGATTGATGATGTTTCTATCTCTCTCTCTCCCTCTCCATTACTCTCTGAAATCAATAAAACATATTTTTTAAAAAGTTGTTGCCTTCGTGTGAGGCCTTCTTGAGAAATGCAGCCCAGACTGACCCAGCCTGGTTTGTGCCTAGGTGCCTGAAAGAAGACCCTGCCACCATGTCTCTGCTGCAGAGGAGCCTGGATCCCGAGAAGACGCTGGGCCTGGTGGATGTGCTCTACACGGCTGTGCTGGACCTCAGCCGCTGGCGGGCAGGGAGGTTGGTGTCTCCAGCCGTCACTTGAATTGGTTGGCATTCAGGTCCACACCAAGGGACTGTATAACCACATACAGTTTCATGTGTGCTCATGTCACAGAGTGAGAGTACATAAGACAAGAAGGAAAACATTTTGTTAATTTTTTTAAAAAATAATTTCAACTTACAGAAAAGTTACAAGAATAGTCCAGAGAATTGCTCTCTGCCTTTTACCCAGACTCCCCATTTTGCTAACATTTTTGTCTTCATTTGTTTTATTATTTGAGAATAAGTCCATTAAAGGATTTTAACACAACTGGTATTCTCCTTATGAACTAAGAGCAAAGAAATGTTTACAAATTTTGTAGTTGACACATAAAATTATCCCTTTGTGAATTGTTAACCTTAGAACAGGTTAACAGGGACCTTAAACAACTAGCCACGTGTCCTTCTGAACACATCAGGTCCAGAGCAGTGAGATGGCTCATCCAGGGTTGCACCAGCCGTCACCTACCTCAGCCCCCACCCAGTGCCCTTTCTATCTCCAGGGCCCTCTTTCAGGGCCAGAAAAGAGTGCTCGGGAAACTTTGGAAGTAAAAGCCATCTGTTCTTGGCACTGTCTGCAAATTACTTCCAAAGACAAAAGTGCTGCCTAGTGTCCGAGTCTTCGCCACCCACCCCTCTTTGCTATGTGGATTTGTCCACTGTCCCTCTGCTGGATCTGCCAGACTCTCAATTCCTGTTCTCCAGGCACACAGCAGGCCTCTGTTGGCGACATCCCCACTCTAGTCTTGCTTTGCTTTCCTGTTCTGCAGTTAAAGGGTTTTGCTCAAACTCCTCAAGCCAGTATCCTGATGTAGTTTTCAACACAGTTTCATGTTAGACCCCATAGTTTTCTTTAAAATAAACATAGATAGTAAGTACTTAAGTTATGCACAATTATCTATAAAACTAGAAGCCCAGTGCACTAATTTGGGGTGGGATCTGGCCAACCTGACCCCTGTCTGAGTGGATTGGGGCTGGGCCTATCGGGTGGAGGAAATGGCGGGAGGTTGGCCAATTGGCCAGCTCCAATTGGGCCTGATCAGGGCCGGGCTGGTTGGTGAGAGGGACCACAGGCAATTGGGGCGGGGGGGCTGATCAGGGATCAGCAGTCAGAGGAGGGGCCGTGGGAAGTTGGCTGGCCAGCCCCACCCCTGATTGGTATTGGGGGGCATTGATCAGATGTGAAGCTGTCTGGGGGGAAGGACCACAGACCAATTGGGGTAGTGGGGACTGACCAGGGTGGGGCCAGCTGTGGGTGGTGGGCCAGCTGGCCCGCCCCTGAATAGGGTGGGGGGGCAAATTGGGAGCCAGTGGCCTGGGGGAGGGGCCATGAACCAATTGGGATAGTGGGGGTCCATCAGGGGCAGGGCCAGCTGCGGGGAGGGGCTGCAGGAGGTTGACCAGCCAGCCCCACCCCCCCATCGGGCAGGTTCACTGTTCACAGTGGACATCACAGTTACCAGTCATTAGGGTCGTTTCAGTCGCTGGCTTTTTATACATATAGGTAAGTGAACCTAATAACATGCAGAGAGGTCTTTTTTGTTCTTGAAGTCTTAAATATAAAGAGGTCTATTTAATTATCCAATTTGTATATTTGCCTTTTAAAAAAAACACACATTTCTGTTGAAATAGGGAACAAGCTTTGCCCTGCATACAGATCCAGCTGCAAAGGGAGATGTGTGATTTTGGGAATCAGGCTGACCTCCCTTCTGGAAATGGGAACAAATCTTCAGGCGGCCTGCAAAAGACCTTCTCCAAACTGACCTCCCGCTTCACCAAGAAAGCTTCATGTACCAGCTCTGGCAGCAGCACCAATTATTCCATCCTAAATACCCCTTCCAAAAGCATCTTCATAGCTGGCTGTTCAGAAGAGAAAGCCAAAATGCCCAGTAATATTGACTCAAGATTACAAAGCATTTTGAACATTGGTAATTTTCCTAGGACTGCAGACCCTTCACAGTCAGCTCAGAATTCCAGTAATCAAATGGCCAATGGTTTTCTCATGGAGAGGCGTGACAGCTTTCTGCAAGGGGCTGATGGCAAGGACGAGAAGGGTATGAACTTACCAACTGATCAGGAAATGCAGGAGGTAATCGATTTTCTCTCCGGCTTTAATATGGGCCAGTCACATCAGGGCTCCCCGTTAGTGACAAGGCGTAATTCTACTGCCACAGCCATGGTGACGGAACAGAAGGCAGGAGCCATGCAGCCACAACAGCCACCACTGCCTGCGCCCCCTCCACCACGGCCACCCCAGGCTGGGAGACACACACCTCTGACACCCCAGCCAGGCCTGGCACCACCGCAGCAGTCCCCAAAGCAACAACAACCCCGGGTTCAATACTACCAACACTTGCTCCAACCCATTGGACCGCAGCAGCCCCCACCCCAGCCTCGGGCCCCGGGGAAATGGGTGCATGGCTCATCCCAGCAGCCAGCACAGCCCGTCGGAGTGGGTCTGTCTCCTCTTGGCCAGTGGCCTGGCATGTCTGACCTCAGTTCTGACTTGTACAGCTTGGGTCTGGTGAGCAGCTACATGGATAACATGATGTCAGAGGTTTTGGGGCAGAAGCCTCAGGGACCTAGAAATAATACCTGGCCAAATCGTGACCAAAGTGATGGAGTCTTTGGAATGTTGGGAGAGATTCTGCCTTTTGATCCTGCAGGTACGTGAATCCCCTCCCCACCTCAGGGTTGTAACATAAATATAATCATTGAGGACATCACAGGGCCGGTCGGCCACAGCCTTGTGGAGAAGTGATTTTAAAGACCCCTTTTCACTGACGGCAAGCATGGGACAGACCCAGCAAAGGTGGGAAGCAGTGAGGTTTAGGCTGAAAAGATAAATGGAACTCTTTTTCTCACTTTGCAGAGGACAGGGTGAGGCATAAGAGAAGCTACTAGTGCAAGTGGGCTCCAGTCAGAGTCCTCTCTCATGGGAGCCACAGCCTTGGGGGCTTTCTCCTGTGGCCTTCTTTTCTGCTTACACTCCAGGACCTATGCAAGGTGTAGGTTACCCTCCTGCCGTCATAGAATTCAGCTTCTCCCAACATACACAGTGTGAATATACCACCAGAGTTATCTTAGGAAATTGGATAAAAGAACTTAGAAACAAAACAAAAATGAACTAGGAGGAGGAATTAAGGTTAAGAGCCAGGATTACTTAAATTTAAAAGAAAAACATAGTATCCCTGGCTGGTGTGCTCAATGATTAGAGCGCCAACTGTGGAATGAAGCTTCAAGGGTTCAATTCCCAGTCAGGGGCATGTACCTGAGTTGCAGATTCATTCCTCAGCCCAGTTAGGCTCACACAGAAGGCAACTAATCCATGTGTCTCTCACATATCCCTCTCTCTTCCTCTCTCTCCACCTCCTCCTCCCTACTTTCCACTCTGTCTGGAAAAGCAATGGAAAAAATGTCCTCAGGTGAGGGCTAACAAAAAACAAACAAACAAAAAAGAACACATCCTCACCTGGCTGGCGAGGCTCAAAGGTTGAGCATCAACCTATAAACCAAGAGGTCACAGTTTGATTCCCAGTCAGGGCATATGCCCAGGTTGTGGGTTCACTACCCAGTGCGGAGCATGCAGGAGGCAGCTGATCAATGATTCTCTCTCATCACTGACTTCCTATCTCTCCCTCTCCCTTCCTCTCAAAACAAAAAAAACAAAACAAAACAAGTGCAAAAACACATCTTCAGGTGAGGATTAAAAAAAGAGAGAGTGAGCCCTGATGAACTGACCTGCGAACTAAAGGATCCCGGATTCGATTCCGGTCACTGGCACACCTCAGTTGCAGGCTCAATCCCCACCCTGGTTGGATGTGTGTGGGAGGCAACCAGTAGATGTGTTTCTCTCTCTCTCCCTCCCTCCCTCCCTCCTTCCTTCCCTCTCCACTTCCCTCTACTATAAAAATCAATGGAAAAAATATTTTTGTGTGAGGATTAATGAATAAAAGAGACAGCTAAAAGAAACAAGACAAGAAAAGAAGAACAAGACATAAGTACTACAGATAGAGTAACGATTAGAACTCGTAAACACATTACTACATATATGACTTGATGACAACACATTTGAGAACTTAATGGAAAATGGATTCTTTCCAAATAAAATATACATTACCAAAATTGTACCGAGACGTAGAAAACCTGCCTAGATCTATAGATCTATTTCAGTAGAAGAGATTATTAAATAAAGGCAATTATGAAGCCAACATGATTTTTACCACAAAAACTTTATAAGAATTATACAAAAAGTAAACTATAGTGCATCTCATGTATGAGTGGATATATGTGAGAAAATCCATCAGTACATATGTTACTAAAACCTGTTTACTGCAGGGTTATAAGGTGGTTCAGTAGAAGGAACTATGCTAATGTACAGTAATCCATAAACCAACCAATTAAATGAGAAAAACTCATAGTAATAGATACTATGTAGACATTTAATAAAAGACACCAGCAGTTCTTAAAAAATAAAGTCCTGCCGAAACCGGTTTGGCTCAGTGGTAGAGCCTCGGTCTGTGGACTGAAAGGTCCCAGGTTCGATTCCAGTCAGGGGCATGTACATTGATTGCGGGCACATCCCCGGTAGGGGGTGTGCAAGAGGCAGCTCTCTCATCGATGTTTCTAGCTCTCTATCTCTCTCCCTTCCTCTCTGTAAAAAATCAATAAAATATATTTAAAATAAAATAAGTCCTTTAGAGTAAAACATGAATAAAAGGAAATTTCTTGAATATAAAAAAAAGACTACGCGGGGAGAGGGCTGAGTGTGGAATGTAGAGTTTTGTTTTTTGGGTTTTTTTAATATATTGATTTTTTTTTTTTTTTTCAGAGAGGAAGGGAGAGGGATAGAGAGCTAGAAACATCGATGAGAGAGAATCATCAACCAGCTGCCTCCTGCACCCCCCCCACTGGGGATGTGCCCACAACCAATGTACATGCCCTTGACCGGAATCGAACCTGGGACCCCTCAGTCCGCAGACCAACGCTCTATCCACTGAGCAAAACCAGTTTCAGCTAGAGTTTGTTTTTAAGAGAGACAATCTCTAGAATAAAATTTTTAATTTTTAAAAAAAAGACTACCTACCAAAAGCCAGTAGCAAGTAGCACTTTGTATAGTGAAACAAGGTTCCAGTTAAAATCTAGACCCAGCCAAGATCTGTTTGGCTCAGTGGATAAAGCGTTGGCCTGTGGACTGAGGGGTCCCGGGTTTGATTGCAGTCAGAGGCATGTGCCTGGGTTGCAGGCGTATCCCCAGTAGGAGGTGTGCAGGAGGCGGCTGATCGATGATTCTCTCATCGATGTTTCTAACTCTTCTTCTCTGTGAAAAATCAATAAAATAGCCAGGACCGGTTTGGCTCAGTGGATAGAGCGTCGGCCTGCGGACTGAAAGGTCCCAGGTTCGATTCCGGGCAAGGGCATGTACCTTGGCTGCGGGCACATCCCCAGTGGGGGATGTACAAGAGGCAGTTGATCGATGATTCTCTCTCATCGATGTTTCTAACTCCCTATCCCTCTCTCTTCCTCTCTGTGAAAATTTAATAAAATATATTTTAAAAAAAAAATCAATAAAATATATATTTTTTAAAATAAAAAATAAGATCTAGACCCAGACAGGTGGCAATTATCGCTACCAATAGCATGTAACTTCGTATTGAACTTTCTAACAAATACATCAAGACAAAAACAAGGGAAATAAGAGGTATAAGCTTTAGAAAATGATAGATTATAAAGCACATCTCTTTGCTAGCTATAGAATTGGAAAAAACAAAACTCAATAAAAAAAAATAATAAAACTTGTAGAATTAGTAAACAAATCTCATAAAGTGTAGATGCAAGGTAAGTTTATAAAAATTGCTTTTCTCTCTCTCATTTAACAAAAGGTATACAGAAGTAGAAGACATTTTATTCACAAGGGGAATACTCTGAAATATTGCATATAACTATCCTATCTAATAAAAGGATAATATGCAAATTGACCATCATTCCAACATAAGATGGCCATCTCCATGTGGACACAAGATGGCCAGCAGGGGAGGGCAGTTGGGGAAGATCAGGCCTTCAGGGGAAGGCAGTTGGGGGGATCAGGCCTTCAGGGGAAGGCAGTTGCAGGGGATCAGGCCTGCAGGGAAGGGCAGTTGGGGGTGTCCAGGTCGGCAAGGGAGGGCAATTGGGGGCAACCAGACCAACAAGGGAGGACAGTTAAGCAGTTAGGCATCGATCAGGCTGTCACAGGAGTGGTTAGGGGGTGATCAGACTGGCAGGCAGAAGCAGTTAGGGACAATCAGGCAGGCAGGCAGGTGAATAATTGGGAGTCAGCAGTCCTGGATTGTGAGAAGGATGTCCCAGATTGGAGAAGGTGCAGGCTGGGCTGAGAGACACATAGGCTCCTCCCCTGTGCACAAATTTCGTGCACCAGGCCTCTAGTATATATTTATATAAACACAACAAGAGGAGTTTCCCTCACAAAACAAAGCAACCTTAATTGTTAAAGGGCAGAAGTGTGTTCTTATTTCTCCTAAAAATTTCTCAAGCTGCTGCTCATACTTTCTTGTTCTTGTTGCCCTTGGGTGGGTGATGTGGGGAACCTTATACCCTTGGGTATTGGAAGGGCAAACAGCTCCAACTGCTATGGAAGAGCAAGCCTACCTTGGCACTGTTAGAGAGACATGGCATATTTTCTCCATTGCTGATAAACAATCTACATTTCTGACAGTCACATAGGATGAACCAGAGCATAGATGGTATTTGGCAGAATTTTATCACTGTTTTTTGTTTTGTTTTTGTTTTTTAAATAATCCAGGTGAGTTGATGTTACCTATGCTGAAGCTTTGGATTCTTTTTTTAAGCTCTTTGTTATAATTTCTTTCTTTTTTTAAATTATTTTATTGATTTTTTACAGAGAGGAAGAGAGAGGGATAGAGAGTTAGAAACATCGATGAGAGAGAATCATCGATCAGCTGCCTCTTGCATACCCCCTACTGCTGGGGATATGCCTGCAACCAAGGTACTTGCCCTTGACAGGAATCGAACCCGGGACCTTTCAGTCCACAGGCTGTCGCTCTATCCACTGAGCCAAACTGGTTTTGGCAGCTTTGGATTCTATATTCTTTCTTTTATTTTTTTAAATATATTTTTGTTGATTTCAGAGAGAAAAGGAGAGAGAGTGATAGACACATCCATGATGAGAGAGAATCATTGATTGGCTGCCTCCTGCACGCCCCCCACTGGGGATCAAGCCCACAACCAGGCACATGTCCCTGACTGGAATCAAACCCGGGACCTTTCATTCCCCAGGCCAACACTATTCACTGAGCCAAAAAGTCAGGACCTGCCATAACTTTTTTTTTTAAATATATTTTATTGATTTTTTACAGAGGAAGGGAGAGGAATAGAGAGCTAGAAATACCGATGATGAGAGAAACATCAACCAGCTGCCTCCTGCACAACCCCTACTGGGGATGTGCCCGCAACCAATGTACATGCCCTTGACCGGAATCGAACCTGGGACCTTTCAGTCCTCAGATCAATGCTCTGTCCACTGAGCCAAACTGGTTTCGGTTGCTATAGCTTTTTAAAAATATTTTTTAATTGATTTCAGAGGAGAGGGATAGAAACATCAGTGATGAAAGAGAATCATTGATGGGCTGCCTCCTGCATACCCTACCAGGGATCGAGCCTGCAACCCAGGCATGTGCCCTGACCAGGAATCAAACCGTGACTTCTTGGTTCGTAGGTTAACACTCAACTGCTGAACTACACAGGTTGGGGTTTTTTGTTTATTTGTTTGTTATTTAATTTTATTGATTTCAGAGAGGAAAAGATGCCATAGCTTTCTGTTTGACTCTTTCTCTAAGAGAGATACCTTCTGTGCTATTCTTTTCTCCTACTTTTACTGCCCTGCACATTACTCAGCTCTATCCAGTATGTTTCCAGGCACCTCTTAATACATCCTGAAATTTCATGTTATTTATTACCAATTTTTTCTTTTCTTTTTTAAATTTATTGACTTTTGAGAGAGAAAAAAGGAAGGGAAAGAGAGAGAGACATTGGTTTGTTGTTCCACTTGCTGATGCATTCATTGGTTGGTTCTTATATGCACCCTGACTGGGGATCGAACTTGCAATCTTGGTATATCAAGACAAGGCTTTAACCAACTGAGCCACTGAGCCAAGGCCTATTACCACTCTTATTTCTTCAGACTGAAGTGGTTTGCCATCCAATATCCATGGAAATATTCTATCAGAGTTGGGCCCAAGTGGGAATGGCATATATTCTCTATCTGGCTAACCCTGATGCTTTGATAACATCCAGGTTAGTTGGCTACTCACATGACTTTCCAGGTTATTACCGATTTAATATTAGATTTTGGAAAATGTTAAAGTACTTGTCTTTAATATTTAGTCATGGATAAAACAAACCTTTTTTATTCTCTCTGTCTCCTGTTCACATCCAGCCTGCCTCTGTCTTAGGCATAAGCCTTCCTGACAACCCTATGTGCACCATAGGTGAACCTTAGACCGATGTGCTACAAGCCCCAGCTCACCATTGCAGACTGCTCAGCCACAGGCTGGCAGCTCACCACTTTTCTGTGTGTGTGACCAGCACATCCTCAGAAGGTAGCAAAGGAAATGAGGCTAATTTAGCTCCAAACCCTGTTTATCCCTTTGTCTCAACACAGTGGGTTCAGACCCTGAATTTGCACGCTACGTGGCAGGAGTGAGCCAAGCAATGCAGCAGAAGCGGCAAGTCCAACATGGTCGCCGTCCAGGCAACCCCCGTGGACACTGGCCACCCATGGATGATGCCCATCGGACCTGGCCTTTCCCAGAGTTCTTCACAGAAGGGTGAGTGCTGGGTGTGGCAGTAAAGCTGATTTGGGGATCTGGGTGTCCCCCATGGGGCCTTTGTGCACTCTTATTAAGTAATTCAATTCCAAACCCAAATGTGAGAGCGACAAATGGTCAGATCTTCAGGAGGCAGAGTTTTGTGATTGACTGTGGCATTCACGGTGGCATAAAGTGCCCCTGTGAATACACCATTGGTATAAAATTGATTTTCTAGACAGACTCGTCCACTCTAGACAAGGATCTTATTTGATAGTATAAAGAAATTGCATGTTTCACAAAGTTTTTATGCTGAAATGAGCATGTCTAAACCCATATGATTTATGGAATGTGATCTTACCGTTTACAAACGGTAAAGGTATATGGTTCAGATTCCAATGAAAGGAGAGAATTGTGGATTTTCATCATAAGGACAACTGGGGATTGGTTTTTCACATCTCTTATTGCTACCTGGTTAAGAAATCTGGACAGCTGCTCTGGCTGATTTGGCTCACTAAATAGAGCATCGACCTGTGGACTGAAGGGTCTCGGGTTTGATTCTGATCCAGGGCATATACTTCTGTCTCTCCCTGGAATCAAAAAATTAAAAGAAAGAAATCAGGACAGCTAAAGACCACCTCAACTTTTTATTTGCTCTGATGAACTTTGTACGTAAACTACAGGTTTCTGAGAGGAATAAAGGGCAGTGATGCGTATGTATTACAGTTGATCATCACAGGGGTTAGAGGCACCAACCCACCATGTAGTTGAAAATCCACACAGATTTAAGTTGATTGACTGTATACATGGGTTCCTAACCATGGAACAAAACTACAGTTGGCCCTTAAATAAAGCAGGTTTGAACTGCACAAGTCACTTGCATGTGAACCTGCATATAAGAGATAAGAAACCACTATTTGAGCCGAAACCAGTTTGGCTTAGTGGATAGAGCGTTGGCCTGCAGACTAAAGGGTCCCGGGTTCGATTCCATTTCAAGGGCACGTACCTTGGATATGGACACATCTCCTCTGGGAGGTATGCAGAAGGCAGCTGATCGATGTTTCCAACTCTTTTTCTCCCTTCCTCTCTGTAAAAAAATCAATAAAATATGTGTGTGTGTGTGTGTGTGTGTGTGTGTGTGTGTGTGTATTTTTTAATATATTTTATTGATTTTTTACGGAGAGGAATGAGAGGGAGAGAGTTAGAAACATCGATGAGAGAGAATCATCGATCAGCTGCCTCTTGCACACCCCCCACTGGGGATGTGCCCACAACCAAGGTACATGTCCTTGACCAGAATCGAACCTGGAACCTTTCAGTCCACAGGCCGATGCTCTATCCATTAAGCCAAACCGGTTTCGGCAATAAAATGTATTATTAAAAAAAGAAACTATTTGAGTACAGGGTAAAGACTTCTCTTAGAGCTTGGTTGGGCTGCCAGTGACCAGGCTGGCTGCAGGAGGCCCAGGACCAACTTCTCTCTTTGGCTTTCAGGGATGGCCTGCACAGCAGCTGGTCAGGTACTCAGGGAGATTCAGCCAGCTCGAGTGATGAGACGTCTTCTGCCAATGGCGACAGCTTGTTCTCCATGTTTTCAGGGCCTGACCTCGTTGCTGCTGTCAAGCAGAGAAGGTATGAAGAGATTTCTAAATGAAAGGACAGGGGGCACGTGAATGTGATCCACAGCTCAGTCCTCTGGAAAGCTCAGGAGCCCATTGTTCCCAATCTGCCTTGTGTGAAAAAGGCGGAGGGCCTTTCCCCGCACTGTCCCACAGAGGCCACCACACAGGCTTGTAGTCCAGGTGACTTAACATTGGGCTGAGTTTTTGCTGGCAGAATAGTCTCATGCCGGAAGTCAAAATACTCCAGTATGTCAGGCAAGGGAGAATTCTGAGACAGGGTTTGCCTCTGTTGGTCTGCACCTTGCAGGAGGCAGACGTGTGGGGAGGAAGGGGGGGAGCGGGGGGGGAGGGGTGTTCAGGGTGAGAAAGAGCAGGACTAAGACAAGCAAGTTCTAATCAGGATTCTCAGCAGGCTTTGCAGCTCCAAACAAAAAGCTGACCTTCAGTTTCCTTGTGAAAGGTAGAACTGGGTAAAATGACGTCTGACTGATATTTCAAAGTTGAAAAAAACAGTAATATAGTATATTCAGATCTAAGAAGTTTAGATCTCATATTTAAATGGATCCTAAAATAAGAGGAAAGTTTGGTTATAGAGAAGTAAAGAGACTTCGTGCGTGGTGTGAGAAAGCAGAGGCCCAGAAGTGGCAGTCTAAAGGATGTGGGCAGGAAATAGAACGTAGGGCTGCCTGGGCATCGGAAGTCATGCTGTGGAGAGGAAAGGGAGGCCAGGTTACACGGCCCTTGTGTGACAGTTGGGCTTCAGTGGATAAGCAGTGGGAAGCGGGTAGGTAAGCCACAGAGTTGTAACAGTGATAATGACAGTGATTGCTAATACAAGCTAAGCCTCAGGTAAGCATTTACATACATTTTCTCACTCAGTTCTCTCAACCACTGTATTTTTATTTGCTAGGGCTACCATTACAAAGTACCACAGACTGGGGACTTAAATGACATAAATTTATTTTCCTACAGTCTAGAGTCTGGAAGTCTGAGATCAAAGTGTCAACAGGGTAGTTTCCTGGGCTTGCAGACATTTATCTTCTCCCTGTATCTTTTCATGGTCTTCTCCTGTATGTGTCCATGTCCTAATCTTCTCTTCCTAAAAGGACAACAGTCACATTGGATTAGAACCCACCCTAATGACTTCATTTTAACTTACGTGTTTAAGCACCTTATCTCTAAATACACTCACAGTATAAGGTATTGGGAGGTAGGATTTCAGCATATGAATTTAGAGTTAACAGATGAATTGGGGGAAGGAGGAGTGACACAGTGCAGCCCATAGCAACCATCTTATATAAGTACTAGAGGCCCGGTGCACAAAATTTGTGCACTTGCTGGGGAGTCCCTAGCCTGGCCCGTGCCCTCTTGTAGTCTGGGAGCCTTGGGGGATGTCCAACTGACGGCTTATGCCCACTAAGCCGTCAGTTGAACATCCTTGGCATTGACACGGAGGTGGAAGAGGCTCCCACCACTGCCACTGTGCTCACCAGCCATAAGCCCGGCTTCTGGTTAAGCGGTGCTCCCCCTGTGAGTGCACTGACCACCAGGGGGCAGTTCCTGCATTGAGTGTCTGCCTCCTGGTGGTCAGAGTGCATCATTGTGACCAGTCATTCCACCATTCGGTCATTTGCATATTAGCCTTTTATTTTGTAGGATTGTTTTACTCCCGATCCATAGGTATAGAAGTTGACACTCGGAAAAGTTAAATTCATTCATTCATTCATTCATTCGTTGGCACTTATCATGTACCAGGCACCATAATGTAACGGCAAACAAAACAAAGTCCCCCTCCTTGTGGAAGGTATATTCTATTGTGGGAAGGCAGATTTAAAACAACAACAAAATATGTCAGGTTAGGTTAGGTGCTATGAAGAAAAATAAAGCAGGGTTTTGGGGGCAGAGTGCAAGGTTCAGGCGGATTTTCTGTTTTCAGAATGAGAGTCATGAAGGCCTCTGATGAGCAGAAAGCTGAACACAATGAGGGAGCAACTGGGGAGGTATTGGCAGAGGGGTATGTGTGAGAGAGAAGAATCAAGGATTATAGGCAAGTTTTTGGCCTGAACAATCTGTGTGAAAGGGGGTGCCATGAACCAAGACTGGGAGGACTGCAGGAGAAGCAGGGTGGAGTTTAAGACTTCTGTTTGAGACATGGGAAATCAGGAAGGCTGATTAGACATCTAAGTCACTTATAGCACTACCTCTGCAGAGACTGCTGTCTGCGTGCAGGAGCGCGGATAGACTGAGTTACCTGGCTCTGAGCCTGCTACATCCTGCCTTTTTTATTGTTATAACAAACTTCATGTCAGTTGTGAAACTTAACAGGCTTTTAGTTTATAGTCACATATCCACATTGCATGGTAAATAATATCTGTTGAATAAATTAACAGGAGGCCATAGATGATGGACTCAAGAGAGCAGCTGAAAGGGCCAGTATTTGTCCTCATGCCTGCCACCCCTACTCTATCCCAACCCTGTGATGATTTGCAGGAATGCAGCATTTGATGGTGACTCACTTTTTCCCCTATATACCGTGTATCCAAGCACATCTCCACACACCCACCTAGAATCAGTGCCCCAGAATGCCAGAGACAAGTGATAAGGGCCCCCTGGAGGTAAGCTGGACAGGAAACAAGGCAACCACTGCACTGAGCTCTTGGTTCTTTCAGGAAACACAGCAGTGGAGAGCAGGAGACCGGCACGCTGCCCTCGCCGCCTCTTCTTACCACGGTGGACGATGTGAATCAGGTACTGGGGGCTCTGCTCTGGCCATACATCTGGCTCTGTTGGATTCAGACCATAAGCAAGATTCCAAGGTTGAAGTATTTTTTCATTTTTTATTTGTTCATTTATTTAATTACCCTCATTCAAGGATATGCTTATTGATTTTTAGAGAGAGTAGAAGGAGGAGAGAGAAACATGGCTATGAGAGAGAAACTTTGATTGGTTGCCTCCCAAACTTTCCCCAACCAGGGATCAAACCCACAATCTAGGTATGTGCCCTGACTGGGCATTGGGGGAATCGAACCCTGAATGACTGCAAAACTGACCATTCTTCTGTGTACAGGACAACGCTCCAACCAACTGAGCCACCCAGCCAGAGCCCAAAGCTAAAATTTTAAGAGGGCATCAAAATAATGATGGGATCTTTGTGATGAACAGCTTTTTCCCCCATAATTTTGTCTAAATGATCAGCCAGCTCAGCTGACTCAGAGCCACATGTAGAGGAAGCTCCGGACTGTGCTGCCTGATAAGGTAGACACTAGCCACATGTAGCTATGTGGATTGAAATTAATGTAAATAAAATTGAGTACCTTGGTTGCACTGGCCTTAACAGGTGTGTGGCTGCTGCACTGAACAGTGCAGACCACATTCCTGTCACTGCCAGTTCTCTTGGACAGCGCTGTTCCAGGGCTGTGGGAGGGAGAGGGAGAGGCAGAGATCGGGGTGGTGGGAAAGATGATAAATTGCCAGAAATGCCACTAAAAACCTTCTTCTGTCTCTCAGGATAACAAAACCAAAACATGGCCACCCAAAGCACCCTGGCAACACCCTTCTCCACTACCCAGCACACTGCCTAACCCAGGTGCACCACTCTATGCAGTCGCCAGCCCTGGCAGCCAATGGAACGACACCATGCAGATGCTGCAGTCCCCGGTGTGGGCTGCAACCAGCGATTGCAGCACAGCCTCCTTCTCCTACGTGCAGACCCCACCACAGCCCCCACCCCCAGCAGCACACAAGGCAGCGCCCAAGGGCTTCAAGGCCTTCCCAGGGAAGGCTGAGCGCAGGCCGGCCTACTTGCCCCAGTACTGACCCAGGCCTGCCTGCCCAGTGTCCCCATCCTAGAGCTGACTAGCTGGCACCAACCCCCAGAGGACCAGTGCACCCCTGTCCCAGACACAGATCCTTGGGGATGGGGTGGTTGGCAGCTCCAAGCCTTTAAGGCCTGGCTTCTCGAACTTTGGAGGCATCAGACCCCTGGAGAGCCAGCTGAAGACGGAGGTCTCTGACCCTCCTCAGGGAAATGCTGGATCTTCAAGCTTAATAAGCACTTCTGGTGATTCTGATGCAGTTGGGCCACAGGCCACACTCTGAAAAATAGCTCCCAAGTTTGTAGTCCCACGGTGTGTGCTGGGAAGGCATCAGGCTGGAAGAATGACTGCAAAACTGACCATTCTTCTGAAACCTCTCCCTTTTTAACATGTTAAGTGATGACCACACCAATCACTGTATTTTATAGCTATTTTTCATAGAGGTTTTCAGTTAAAACATCTCCTGCCTAAAACGCATTGAAGTTTTTAAGATAAAATAGCGGCTGGAGGTTTGTTCAACACTATTTTTATTTAAGCTTATACAAAATGGGTAACATATAGAATATTTCTGACCAGAAGCAATTACCTGGGTTTTCTGTGTGGGCAGCCCCTCACCACCCCAGCAGCTCCCAGGGAGTGCAGCTTTTATTCGATTTACAAAAGCAGGATCATAAAACTGAAGTCGGAGGCGTATTCCTGATGGTGCGTGGAGATGAGCCAGTGGCTGCTGTCTGCGGGACAAAGACACACCTGTTCCCTCAGGTCCCTCCACACATGGCCAGAGGTTTCACACGTCCCATAGGTTGGGTGTGGTCAGGGGGCTGGTCAGAGACACTGGCACTTGAAATTGCAGTAACTTTTATGAGCTGGCTCAAGACAAACCAATTAAGATATAGACAGGAATTAAAAGTATTTTCTTTTTTAAAAAACCCACCTCATTTTCAGTTAACGTGCCATTAAATAGATAACATCCTGTGGATTTAGGGATTTTCCAGCCAGAATGGATCCAGAAGAATTGAATGGTGCTTAAATTGAGAATTAATAATAAATATATCTATATAGAATAGACATCCCACTGTATATTAATTGAGGTTACAGAAATTCTTTATATAAAACTTATTTAAATTTTTCATATTTCATCTTTGAAAAAGTCTAATTGAAAAAAATCTGTAATATTTTCTGGTATGAAAGTTTGACAGTATTAATATTTTTTTTATATTTTCTTAAATCATTAAACCATTTTAATATATGTTAACTACTAATAAATGGTTTATTCTTTCTAACTCCATATAACCTTTTCCAGCAAAGATTGTAATAACACATTTATGTTCTCATTTTTCTACAGATATAAGTAAATTTATATTTTAAAAATACCAAAAAGAAAAATATATATATATGTGTCTGTATACACACTAATTATAGAGGGCCCTGAGGGTGTCTGAGCCCAGCCGCCTGAATTCTCAATACCGTGTCGCCAGGCTCTTTCCAGGCCCGGTGTTGTCCTGTGCTGTGTGGGGATGCCAGCGCTGCCTGTACTTACGATCCTTTCCCCGTGGGTTCTGAGCATTCACCTCACCATGTTTACAGAGACTATTTTGTACATAGACTTTTTCAGGCATGTGCTTTGCACCAACCCTGCGTGGCTCTTGTCTGTGTTAGCTGTCACAGTGTATGCACTAAACTCTGTTGAAGTTGTCTGTGGCTTTTGACTTGTAACATAGTTTTCTATTTCCTTCAGCAATGTGTCCACAGTACCCTGTATTTCAAGTTCTGATATACTGAAGTACTCTTGTTTTAATAGTGCCTCCCCAAGACCTCACTCTGGTCAGAGGTCAGTCCTTGATGCCCCAGCACAGCTGACGTCAAATTTGCTGATTGTCCCAATCTAGTCTGTTTTTCTTAAGACGTTTTTTAATTGCATCTCCATGGGCTGTGAGACTGTGTGAAGCTGTTTGTGTGGTCTCCTGGTAGGTGCTGGTTCTCAGCACCACCTCGTTCTGAACACTGGTAATCCCAGGTGCTGCGCTTGGCAGAGGAGTCTCTCCAAAGCGCGTGTTTGCCGTGTGTGAGCGTGCGTGTCCTTTTTGTGTCCCGGCATGGCTGCCTTGCTCAGGCATCAGCAGGACATTGTGTGAGTAGTTACAATGCTTCCAAACTGGAACTCTACATTTTGTATCTTACTTTTAAAGCTCCTATAAGTAAATTAACTATTGGCTTTATTAAAAATATACATTTAATAATATATTTTGTATGTCTGTTTAAAATGAACTGCAACAGAAACCATGTGAGAAGCCCTAACTGGTTCGGTACTTGGAAAAGCTACACCTGAATTGGCCTGTTGTCTGATTCCAAAAATGTGAAAGGGGAAAGACCACTGAGGCTAGAAGGTGAACTGGGGTGAGAGAGCAGGAAGCAAGACAACCCACCACACCTCTCCTTCTGGCTTCCCCAAGGCCAAAGCTAAGGTCTCTGTGTGGGCGGAGCCCATGTCATGGTGAAGACCACTTGGAAGGATACCAGCTCTCCTTGGGTTGTGGTCTGCCAGCACCCACACTCCACCAAGCATGTGTGCGATCAGCCCAGGCAGCCTTTCCAGGGAGCAGACCCAGGGATAAGGGACCCGATATATGGCAGAGACCGGACCTCAGAGGGGCAAGGAGGACTAGTCTGACTGGATGATCATCCTGCTAAGCAGAATAGATTGTACATCGGGAACCACAACTAGAGGTTGGGTTACAGAGGAATTTCAACTCATTTCATTTACTGCAAGACACCACTTGATTGAAACTTTTTCATAAGCTTAGTGTGAGCATTAATATATACTCTAACTGAAAGCACCACTCATGCTTCTTTCTTCTGTGATGCCCAGAAGCCGAGCATGGGGACCTGCACCTCAGGGACAGCTATGTTGTATGAGGGAATTAGGAAAGCATGTTAAAAGGTGGCTGGAAAAACACTTACCCAAGTGTGTTCCTATTTAACACGAGTACTAGGTATTAACACTGACCTGATGAGCAACTGTGGAGATAGGGGGTTCATACAAGCCCTGGCTTATGTGCTGGATGGGTGGTGATGGAAGCTAGAACAGAAGTTACATCTGAGCCTCCAGAGGGCCCTTGGAGGCCCCACCCCCGGTTGAGAAATGTGAAGCATACAAACCGGCCTGGATACTCCTTTCTCACCTGGGGTATCCTGGTGTGGCATCCAGCTCCAGGATGTAGCCGAAATGCCAAATGCTAACCCTTTGGAGGGGATGGCCTTCTGCACTGTGTGGCCCCTGTTGTGATCTGGAGATGAGGAGGAAATAGCTCTTCGACTGCCAAAAAACCACTGTACCTGGTCAGCATGCTCCCAACCATAGGAACTGTCGGGGGCAAGCTCCTGGAAGCAACACATAGCTGGCCTTATGATTCCAGCGGGGTAGGGGGCTGCACCCAGGCTTCTGAATGTCTGTGAAGGGACTGGAAATGGCCTAGAAGACAGTCTTCAGTCTTTTCATTCAGGAAGTCCTATCAGTGTATATTTACCCACATTTAAATTCTCCCAGGTTCTCGCATCTCCTTTGCGCTCCTGCCTCGCTCTCTGGCCTCAGGATTTTCCTTACACCCCGGCTTCCTCGACATCAGCTTTCCTGTGCTCCTGGGACTGCGCCTGCTCAGGGCCTCTCCATCAGTTCTGGGCCAGGCCTCGCCTCCACCCGGCTTTGTTTCTCAGGACAGCAATTAGTGCTCCCTTGGAATCGTGTGTTTGAATTTGTTTCTCACTAGGATCAGGGCTTCATGGTAGGAAGGAGCAACTCATTCATGGCCACATGTCCCGGTACAGAACCGCGGGAAGCAGCTCCACGCGAGCCAGCGGAAGGAGCTGTTGCTGGGGCCAGAGGCAAACTTCTAATATAGAGCAAAAAGAACCAGACTTAAAATGAAATCGCCTCTCATTTAGGACTGAAGTACATGATGACCAGAGTGTGTTCTTCCACCGCAAGGAGGGGTTGACACTAGGAACTGGATAGGACTGAGTAGCCTTTTACTAAGTACAGAGCTTTCTACTCTCCTGGAAACCCACGCCAATGTGCGGCGGAGAAATTTTGTTAATTTACCTAACAATGGATTCACCCGGAAAACCGGGGCGACATCCCCAAGCGTCACGCCTACGCAGGACAGGCTTGCCCCGCCCCCCAGGGCGCCTGCGCCCCCTCCCACTCCCGCGTGCGCAGGCGCACCCCATCCCCACGCAGAGGATGCGCACATGCGCGCGAGTCCATCTCAAACGTGCGGGCAGGGGCGTCGGCGAGCGCCCTTCTGCATTCCCCGCCCCCAACTCGGCGCGGGGACATGCGCACACACACGCACACGACGTGCGAGTCCACACGCCGCCGCGTGTGCTGCTCCCCAGTCCGCCCCCCGCCCTGTCCTCCTTCCGCCTTCCCTGCGGTAGACGCGCGCACAGCGCCCCTCGCGAGAGCCGGAGCGGCGCCCGGCGCTGCGCGGAGGCCTGGGGAGGCCTGGGGCGCTCGGCCTCGGTCAGTCACCGTGACTCAGCATCCCCGGTGGGCGCGCCTCGCCGGAACCGGAACAGCTTATGAAGAGCCATGGGTGTGTCCCCTCGCGCCCCACCTCCCGCGGGCTGCTTCAGCTCCGGTGCCAGAAAGCATACACACTCCCTTCCCCTCGGCCTCCACCTTTACTGGGGAATCCTGGTCTCCAGGTCCTGCCTGGCCCTGTCAGCGGCCCCAAATTGGGGACCCCGTTTCCCCATCTGTATAACAGGGCTCTTGCTTGGAACTTTGCCCGCCACAGGCTCAGTAAGTGCTAGTTTTGCAAATATTCAGTGGAAGCCAATTGGTTTTCCTTAGGCTCTGAAATTAACCCTTGTGTAATGTTAGGACTTCCTAACTTGCCTCTGCGTTCAGGTCCACCCTCCAGTTCACTCCTCTGTCAGACCTACTGAGGTCACTGGAAGGCGCCCAGCGCTGAAGCAGGGTCTTTGAACGTTCTGAAC